AAATTATGAAACTTTACAACAGTACATTGTATTACAGTCTTGCCACAAAAGTATAATAAAATTCAAGTCTAATGTTAAGTATAACCTTACTAGTTGAATTAGTATTGCTAGATTAGAAAACAAACTTCTTCTCAATTAAAGGCTTATCCATTTATTATAATAATAATCAGGTGAATTAATACTTATTGCTATATGTTTTACTATCTCGGCTTTGTTTACCACTATAGTTAGATAAACACTTAATAACAAAGGCTCTTCTGTGATACTTCAGCAGTATACCATAAAATTCCGGAAATAAGCCCTCCAAATATATTAATTAGCTCCTCAAACTCATACCACAAAAAACCCTCTGTTAAATCTCCCCTCCAAATATAAGCCCCCCCCCCCCCCGGGGGCTTGTTCTTGGAAATTGCTCTCAAATACAAAATAAAACAAAGCAAAAAGAGCACAGAAACATATAAATTTTTGTATTTGCCAAAGAACGTGCGCCAAATGATTGAAGCCAGAAAGTGTCACAGTTTATTGCTGTTTGCATAATTCCTCTACACTCTTGGCTTTGATTTCCTTGGTCCATATTGACAAAGTACTTGCATGGTTGCGTTTTAGAAAGGTCTAGGTCCGTAACGCGAGTTCCAGTAAAAACTTTCTGCAAATTACTGACTTAAAAAAAAAATTCCATTCAACTATAAGCTAACCCAATTGATTTTAAGATGTAGATAGTAAAAGCCTAGCTGATTTTGAAATGCAAACTTCTCTCCATATAGAAGCCACCCCCCACCCCGAATATAAGCCCCTCAAAAAGGGCCTTTGAAAAATATAAACCCCGGGGGGCTTTTATTTTCTAAATTTTATGGTATACAACGTTTTGCAAGTAGTAAGAAATGATTAGTTAAGTTATGAAGGTGGTAATTGTTACCGATAATACCATACAAGATTTTAATGGTTGATAGATCTACAGCCCATATTGGTACGTGAGACTTGTACCAGTACAGGAAAGCTTCCCAGAACTCTCCCAGAGCTCTAGACTTATGACAAGAAATCCAAAGGCTACCAAGAAGTTACAAGCTGTTGTCTATAGAGCTATGAGAAGGAATTAAGGACAATTGCAGTCAAAAAAGTAGCATGGACTGAACTCACATTTCAAGAAGAAAAGTCACCAAATATTATTATAGCAAAGATATTTTATACCCCAGTGAGAAGGATTAAAACTTAGCCTGCATGGCAGACGCTTGGAAGTAGGGGGCAAAAGAGAGAACAGGCACGCGAGAGGGAGACACAAGTGTCTCCTTCTCGCCCGCACGTTTTCTCTTGTGCCCACTACTTCCAAGTGCCTGCTACGCAGGCTAATTAAAACTGAGATTAAGTAATCTTTGAAGTTTTTGGTCATGCCTGTTTACAGCTAGCTACTTACAGCAGTGACCCAGGACTCACAACAATATAACATCAGGGCCATTGTTAATTCAGTTTTTTTTTGAGGGGCTAACACAAACATTTGGTGTGTCAGAAAGTTGTCCATCATACTAGCCCCCGGGGGAGGGTTCTCGATATATCCCTGGGTGGGGAGGTGCGGTGCGGCCCCTCATATTTCCTACCCTGTTTAAGACAGAATTCCGTTTTTTGATACCCTGTTTAAGACATTAGACCTTGTAAAAATTTTGCTGTTTATCGTCCAAGAAAAGATATCCTGTTTAAGACAAAAATTGATAAATCGATACCCTGATTGAGACAAAAAATGATTCGATACCCTGTTTAAGACAAAAATCCAGAAAACATACCCTGGCTGGCCGCACGTCCCCATTAAGCCCTTATAAGGGAGTACTCCCCCCCACCCCCCGGGACTAGCCCATGTGTAGCATGTGCTTGAAAATAATGGGTGCAAGAAAGAATTGGGCGATGTCTCCCTTTTTTTGTACGCCTCTGTTTTTTTTGGCTCCTGTTTCTTCCTAGTGCCTTATATAATGGCTACATATTTCCATGTTCAAAAGTTAATGAGGGAGAGTGTGGGATTGTGGCAGAGCTGATCTGTGGAAAGGGTATTGTGTCGAAAAGTAGTTTAAGCCTGCACATACAAAATTTTAAATTGAAAAAAGAATTATTCCAGATTAGCTTTCTAAATTCATTTATAAATGCAATTTTCGCTTGGAAGTAATGGGTGCGAGAGAGAACTCAGCTGCATGGTGATGGAGACATGTGTGGGGAGAGGAATCAAAGTCGTGTCCTCCGTGTATACCCCATCGTTTCTTGCCCCCATTTTATCTCTAAGAAGGTACTATGCAAGCTGCAGGCTAAATTTCTTGCATCCCAGGATAGCTTTCATATGGTTTGGGGATTGAAGTGGGACTGGGATGTATGTTGTCCTTCATTTACCCAAAATGGTCGACTAAGCGCCAATACGCTTATTTATTTCTTCCAGTTACAGGTGCAGCGCCTATTCGAGAGCAGCGCTTATTGAATTATTTTTGGTGAAGGTGCGGTGCTTATTCGAGTAGCGGTGCTTATA